TCTTATACTCAGAAGTTTATTAAAATACCATGATAAATACTGCTTAATAAAGGCAAACTATCTCAAGTTTAAACTGGTTAAATTCTCTAACCAATCCTCTTAACGGTGGAATAATTTTAGTAAATCGGCTATCAGCTGAATCTTGTTTATACTATATGTGCTTATGGTATTTATTAATTTTTTAACTTATTGGTAATTCGCTTCTAATAATTTATATATGACTAATCTCTATTTTTATTTATTTTATTTGATTTTCTTTCTTTAGTTTGATGCCAAATCCTCAAAGCATCATTAAAATTAAATTCTGTTACATCCGTTTTTTCTAATCCAACCATCATTAACATATGCAATGTGTCATTATTTAGACCATTACGCAATCTAGTCTTAATTAAATTTTGTTTAGAAAAACCACGCTCACATTCTACACTAGAGAAGGAAATAGAATATACTATTGCTAATAATTTACCAATATTCGGATATGAGTCAATATGGTGTTGAAATAATAAAACAAGCAATTCATCTATTGGTAAATTTGAATAATTTTCATAAATCAACTTTTTAAAATAGAACCATTCTATATGTGTATTGTTAGAATTAACTACTGCTAGAGGGAATAAGGGATATTGAGGCTTTCCATAAAAATTAAGTAATAGCTCTAATTCTTCATTACCGAATTCTAATATATTTTGATTATTTAATAACTCATCTGATAATTTGAATATCTTCATAGCATCAACAAAAGAATTATTTGAAAATTGTTTTTGAATCTCTAAAATTAATATAGATGTAAAACTTACTATATCTACCATTAAGTTATTTTCTTGATTTAATGTCCAAATAAGTAGATGTGAACCAATGTTTGTATTCTTTTTAGAGGGAGTAGAAATAAAAAATTTGTTTAAATTAGTACTTAATTCAAAACAATTATTGTCAATATCTAAATAGGTTTTTTCTAATTTTGTAATAGTGGTTTGAATTATAGGATATATATCATAAAAATAAAGAAATCGAGTTTGAAAAAATTTAGATAATATTGCAAGTTCAGTAAGAATATCTTGAAGAAAATAAAAAAAAGCTATAGTTTGCCAATTACAAAGATTTGTGTATAAATCAAAGATTGAGTTTTGGGTATTTTGATTTTTTGTTTCACTCATAGTATGAACAAGTGTTTCAAGTAAAGGTTCAATTGAAAAACAAATATTATATACTGCCTCATATAAGGAAAGCCATCGAATATCAAAAATTTTA